TGTTTTATCGATAGAATGCTCGATAGAATTATTACACGCAATTACAAAGAGTTCAGTATAAGTTTTCACTACAGTTAAGAAATACTATCCATGTGTTCCGATATTCACTGCCAATACTGAAAATCTATAATAGTTTGCGTCACGTATACAATAGATTTTCAGTACTGGTAGTGAATATCGGAACACACCCTATATTATTTCTTGAAATAGTGATTAAATATTTGAACAAAATAATCTTTTTTTTTTTTTACGCAGCAGTATCAGGTATGGATTACTATCCCTATTCACTCCAACGTTTTTTTCGCCCCAATAATCCTCCAACCATGCACTTTCGAGTCCCACGTGTTTTTTATAATGTTAATAGCTTTGAAAAATTCCCCAAAAATTATTATAATATCTTTGTATCTTCGACTAAAAATCAATGTAAAGAACATTTGGAAATCAATTATTTAAATATTTTTTTACAACAATTATATGTTGACAAACACACGTTACGACTCGTTTTAGTTAAAAAATCATAACTCACGAACGAATTGACGAAGCTCAATGAACCAAAACGCAAATTAAAGCTAAAAGTAGTGCAAATGAGAAAAAAATATGAGATAATTATTAATTAAATAGGAATACTTAATTTCGTCGCCGCAAATTTGGTAATTTTTTAATGGTACAGAAGGACTTTAAGGACTTAAAGAATGCTAGAAAAAGAATTTCTGCATAAGAAAAGGCGAATTTGAAGTGTGACAGATATTTTTTATGTAAAAAAATTAATTTTTTTTTTTATAATCGTAGCTCCTCCCCACCTCTTCCACCTGCCTCTGAGCCATAATAGACCTCTGTGGAATGTTAAATTTTTTTTTTAACGACAAAAATATTTTAAATGCGGTTAAATTATACACAAAAATACATTTTTATCGAAAAAAATGCTCATTTACCTTTCACACAACACTGACGTAATCCTCTAACCATGCACTTTCGTGTCCCACCGAGATTTTGATTGTTCCCCGTTTCGAGAGTAAATGAGCTAGGACTTTGAAATTTTTACCTGAGGTTCCCTGCCACAATAACTTTTTTCCGGCGTGGAGGAGATTCTCCCACGATCATTTGTTTTCCGGAACAAACGACTGTTAGAAATTCGTGGGACACGAAAGGCATGGTTGGAGCGAATAGGGCTATTTTAGAATTGATATACGAACACTCCAGAACACTCTATAATTCGTAACATCGTTTTTTAAAATTACTTTTTTACACTGATTGCGCTACTAATGTCATTTTAGTAGTCCGTGAATAAGTCCCGCGTAAAGCGATAGATACAGTTCCGCATCCAACTCGACCGTGTAGTCAAAGAGTTAATTTTATGAGATTGTTAATTTTGAAAATAATGTTAAAATCTCAATGACCATTTTAATACGAAAGGCGAACTTTTAATATATCAAAATATATCATAAGTAGACATCGGATTTTTTATATGCAGATTGGTGGAAAGAAGCAATTAATAACTAACAATTAGATCATTAGATTATGTTATTTATAATATCTAACATCTTTATACTACAACATATGTTAGATATAAATATGTTAGACATTATAAATAACATAATCTTAGTTGCGCTTTTCTACCAATCTGCATATAAAAATCCGATGTCTAATCATATAAGTATACAGTTTTCTACACAAGATGTGTTGGAGGATGTATAAGTCGATGTAGGACAGAATATGATATAATAAAGGGTTGTAACCTTCATTTTATTGAAGAATTATTATTAGTGAAATTTTTTTATGTATAATATCTTCAATTGATGATATTTCTTAATCTTAAAAGTTATAAGGGGTGGAAAAGTTTTAATTTATTATCGCTTATTTGAAACAGAATTATAGTCATATATAATATTATAAATAATTTTTAAATATAATCTCGTTGACAAAGAGTCAACCTAGCGTCTTTGTAGATGAATTTCTCGGCTTGTTGCATTTAGAAATGTCATTTTAACTTTTATTACGTAATACTTTTGAATATAACTGCAATTTCAAAATAAAAAGATGACATTGACGTGAAAACAAAAGTATATCAAAGCAATGTATTGGCACAAAATAAAAATGTTAATATATATGTCATTTAATTTTAGAACTCACAATTTATCATTTTACAAATATAATTCATTATCTCAGATTAAATATATGTATATAATATTAGAACATACTAAAATATCTGTAATTTTTATCTAGTATCGAGTAATATAGCTCATAATCAAATAAACAGGAATTAAGGACACATCGAACCATTTATATCGATGTAGTCTAAATCATGTCAAAGGTTGTCAGTAATGTCGCAGCGATTAAAAATTAATCGTTGCTTTAAGCTGGACTATGACCACGTATGTCATCGCGTATGTACGCCGGCGACGCCGGCCACCGGCCTGACCGGCCTGACCGGCCACGTACGTGAACCGTGAACGCCTAGTCGTTCCTTATCGTGGCATCCGTTAACACGAGTCTCGTAACCTCTCATACGATTCTCTCTCGGCATCACAGTCGTTATAAATTTGCGTCTAAAATTCCAAACTAATATTCTGCATTATGTCGCTGGACGAAGTAAGGACAACGAACAAGCTTTATTTTTACAATACGTTTTTACCATAACTCGAATAGTGTGACACGCGAAAATGGAACGTATCTCCGTGCTCACCTCTTCTCTCCGTCTCCGGAACGTTAATTTAGAGCGAGTGAAGTTAGCAATTAGTAGGTACTAGTTACTAGTTTGATCGATGAGATTAGTGACGTTTGTGATTTGTTTCAATTGTTCTTTAAATACTCACATCAGCACGTGATGATCGCGTATATCGAACTGATCGTTATTTCCGAATTATTTTAAATAGGCGATATCCTAACGCGGTGTGTAGTATGTATAGTATATACGCGGTTCTCTTAGATAGCTTCGTTGAAAAGCTATCTAAACTCATTAATTTTGAAGAGGTTAAGAACTAACGATCAGTCGATAAAAAAGAGAAATTTAGTAGGTTAAACGCAAACACTGATATTTTCATGGAGACGTGTAGAGGTCTACGTTAGAATAGGTTAAGATAAGATTAGGTTAGATCTTAGATCAGCTAACACACATTCGTAATTTCGTATGTACATAGTCCGGGACTATAAATGTTTTAACGTAATATCCGAATTATTCGAAATAATTATTACCCAATTAATTATTTAAATCCATGTGTTTGTCTTAATAATTCTAATAATTCTAATAATTCGAATCATAATATCGGAAGAGCCGAAGGAATTTGTGCATTTAGATCCGAAATACAACAAATTGAGCAGGAAACCAATAGCACGCAATAGATTGACAGCAAACTTGATCAGAATCTCATACCAAAATCATAGCCTTTTGTGTCCGCATTAAACTCGTGTTCTGTCGACAGAGCAATGTATGCAAATTGGCAGCAGAAACCATGCATACAGTGTTTCTGCTCACATTTCACATTGCCTGTCAGCTGTCAGCAAACTCTGTTGCGTTTCTCTGGCAACAGTTTGACAATATCGTGTGATAGACTATAGAGCGGCCTTTTATGTGAAATTTATCTTTCTGACATAAAAAATTCTACAGGCTCTGTTCAGAATCTGCGCAGGTATGGCTATCTGGGAGAATATAATGACAGATTGACTGTAGAAACTAAGTAAAATCTGTCATTTCATAACCATTTAAATGATGTATTACATTTAAATGTTTATTAAATGAAATGGATAGATTCTGATGCCGATAATCTGCTATTAGATTATATCGACCAACATGTAATGCGGATATAGATAATATTATAATATACCGGATCTGATGGGATAACTGAGCAAATCTGCCGTAAATCTATTGTCATACCGCGGGCAGTTTGCTTACTGATGACAATGAGTATACAGGGTGTTCCCCAGGTCTTTCCGTGCAAACCTTATAGTAGTATGTTTTATGAGCAGAAATAAGAAAAAATACAAACATTGGTCTCAAAATGCTTCATTAGAAAGTTATAGCAAAAGTTAGCTTAGAATATATACCCGTGTAAAGTTATTTTCTAAATCTAAATAATTTGTCGAATTCTAAATAAATTTGTATTGAAGAAATAATAACGGTCTTGCCATAGATAAGTGGCACGCCGTATACCATAAGTGATACATTTATCTTATCCGCTTCTTCGTGCTTACTGATTTGAAATGATTGAAGGTGATTATAAAAGCTTGTATGAACATTAGTAACGAGCAATACCTTGTAGAACATTATCTCAAAATGCCGCAATTTTCACATTTCGTACTTTTGTTATAATTTATAAATTTCGAACGAAGCATTTTGGGATCTACGTAACATTTTTTCTTATTTCTGCTCATAGAACGTACTATTCAAGTTTGTACAGAAAAATCTGGGACAGGGTGCACGCGCGCGCGCGTGCATACACTGAGGATCTACATAGCATGAAAAAATTATACATTCAGTAGGAAAAGCAAGAGATAAATAAATAAAGAGCTAGCTAACTTAGCGATTAATCTTCCGTTCTGTTTCTTATAATTGTGAGATCCGACTCTTCGTACATTAAGATCCGAATCATCCGAACAGTTTGGATATCCAAACTTGACTAATAGAATAAATTTAATGAATTAAAAGAATTCGAATATTAGTAGATCGAGATCATATTTGTAGTTAATATAAATATGCTGCGAGATACCGCTTCAAGCGTGAGTTCCATCAACAGTTTAATCGATTTGATCAGATCGGTTAATCGTTAATTAAATGATGATAATCCTAGTTATGATACAGATAAAAAAAAATAAAAATTTTATATTTTACTTGGAATTAGCGTCAAATTATATCGTTGGTGTGTACGCTACTCTTGTCCCGATAAATTAAATCATCCAAATTGCTTATGATTTCTATTAAATTTAATAACATTTCACCAAGTAACATTTTAAAAAGGGTTTTCTTTTTATCAAGTGATCACATAAACACACGTTCCTATTCTTAGAGATTTAATAATGCGGCTATAGCGGTAAAGGAATTGGCTGCGCAGCCAGAAGACGAAGATTTACTCGAGTTGTACGCATTGTACAAGCAATCCACTGTTGGCGATTGTAATACAGGTACATTTTTACGGAATTTTATGCGCCCAGTTCATGCTTATTGTGTACAATTGCAATGATCCTGGTAAATCTTCTTTTTTTTTTTTTTTTTAGAGAGACCGGGTATGTTGGATTTCAAAGGAAAGGCGAAATGGGACGCTTGGAATGGTAAAAAAAGCATGGAACAAGAAACGGCGAAAGAAGAATACATTGCTAAAGTGGAGGCACTAATCGCTTCAATCGGAAAGAAGTAGTTGATTCATTGTTACGTTTACACGCGCACATAAAGATTTGCGCGTGATCTTATTTGAACGCATTTCTATTAAAACTTTTTCACCATCGATGAGAAGCACTCGGAATATTATGTAATACGCGTGTGCAATTATATTTGTGCAATGTATATTTGTATAGATTGTATAGATAGGAATGCACTTTTTTTGGTTACTCGTTTGTGTGAATTTTGTATCCAATGATTTATTAGAATCAGCATAAAACTACTTGTCGCATATGTCTCTGTTATAATTGACTTCCCCTTTCCGAACAGTAATTTGATCTCTGCCGTTTGCAATAGTTCCATACTCTGACTTTATACTCAAGATAATTAGTGTATATTAATAATGTATTTCTATAACATTTTTTTCCCTTATCATTATATACACATATGTAAATAGCTAATCGAAGAAAATACGATCGAAAACGGTTCTTCTAACACAGTTTCTCAACGATGTGTCTCAGCGTATATTTAGCTAAAACTTAAATCGGTAAATAACGCTAGGGCCAACGACAATAAAAATACGCAGCGACGAAAATAAATTATACTATTAATCGATACGAGATGCATTTAAGATACTTTTATCATTTTGAGAAATTATATATATAAGTTTTGCGTCAGTTCTGTAACCTAGCGATAATCGATGCTCAAGTTAGCGAACGGCATCGGTTACGTTACATCGTACAACAAGGTAGAGACAAGGCAGATGTTACTTGTAAATTAGTCTCGATTCGCGGCGTATAAGCGATACGCTATCGCAAGTACCTAACTAAATTCAAAAACAACTCGTTTTTACAAAGCTAAACGGCTAAACGACTCAACGACGACGACGGATAGCGGGCCGCTTTGCTCTCAAAATTAAAAGTCGACAAATCATGATTTTCTTTTAAATAAACTTTATTATACGAACCGCGTGGATATGTCAAGCCAGTCATTTATAGGATGTTATTCTTTCCCTCTTTAATTCGTACACAGATTAGCGATTTTTTCTTTATTATTCATCAACTTATGAATTTCTATCAGATCAGATAATAATGGATAGAATAGCATATATATATATATATATATATATCAACAGGACGAAAATTTTCCCCGGGATCAAATTTGTATCGAGTATATCAGGAGCGCACACTCGTCGACTTTGATACACACAAGGAACTTGAGACAAGAGCGAAGCAATTTATTTCCTCTTACTTCTATCGTGCTTCTTACTCATGTGCGGATGATGACGCGTCTTTACTCTGCTAGCTTTTAGATAGTCGCCGTGGGTCGCGCTCGAGCTGTGGCTACCCATCGTGTTATCGTTGACGTTCTCACAGACTTGACGACTCGTCGATGCTTCGTCGAACCTAACACACACACAAACAAACGAGATGACGGAAAATTGAAGCTCGTGTAAGAGGCAATTCGCTCTTGTTTTATATAAATTCCAATTATTAACGCTCCGATCACTCGGGCTTAGAGAGCCTATCTCACTATCATCGATTGTCAATTTCGGCGAGTAAGAGCGCGCGGTTAAGAGTGTGTCGACGTGATGTTACGTTCTCGATGAAACGATGATAAACGACTGCGAGGGGAGGAACTGTGTCGAGAGATACCAACGCGGAGATACCAAGTACTCGTTTATAGATGTTCTAATCGTGACGACAGGAATTTCTCAATTGCCAAGGAGAGATCGAGCGAATGAGATGTGTTTTAACTGTACGTTATTGACTGCGGTACGCCATTCACTGTCTTCGATTTCAGTACATCATTTTCATAAGACATTATCGTTTCTTTCCCGTTTTCAAAGACTCTGTAAAAGACACGAAAAGGAGAAAAGATTAGAAATACAATTAGAATATAGATGTAACGCCGCCGGATCTTACCAGATACAGTGTACGCGTTGTATCGAATATATGAGACTTACTTTTTGGTCGTAATTTTCTTTCCATCGATGAAACGAGTAGAGGTGCTGGTACGTTTCACAGCAGTACCACCGCTCATTCCGTCGAAACTAGTGAAAGTACCAAAGGAAGCGAAGTTTCCTGCGGTACCGGCATTCTCCATTAAATCATTAAACGGCAAACGAAAGCCGAATCCAAAGGGTCCGAAGAAAGAAGTACTCAGACTGTTATTAGCCGAGTGACCGTGTCTTCCTCCAGCATTTCTTCGTGGACCACCGCCGTGAAAGCCTGCAAATTTCAATGTTTGTAACGTTTGTGACCTTTGGTAACCTTAGTATATTTCCTATCTGGATGTATTTGTATTATTAGTTATAGTATTAGTAGGCTTTACCGGCGAACAAGTCTTCGAACGGTATCCCATCGAAAAATTCTCTAAATACTTCCTCAGGATCTCTGAAAACGAACGTGCCGCCGAAGTGCGCGTCAAAGTCATCTCCATGGCGTCGTTTGCCCCCAGGCATTTGAAGACCTTCCTTGCCATACTGATCGTAAACACGTTTCTTCTTCTCTAAAAACGTTAAAGCGAAACATTTATTATTTGGCTTTCGATCGTAATCACCATCTCAATTCAGCTCCTTTCAACCAAAACCCAACAAGCGAGGTTTCTGCAAGGCTTGCCAAAGGTTAGTCCAAAATATCGATGCGTAAGTTTGGAATATAATGCGAAAAGACAGTCTCGGAGAGAATTTATCGTATATCGCTTCGTATGTCGTATTAAATATATCGCTTAGCTTAGCTTGCTTAGCTAAGACGCACTGAATTTTTCATCAGGGGTATAACTCTCTCGACCAAGTTATAATTCGCTAGCTGTTAGCACACGCTGACAATAGAATGCAGGCAGGGTTAACTGCAACGCGTTATAGCTATTCCGTATTCGATATGGATTCTAAAGATCAGAGCAAACTCGAAAAAGATATATTTCTTCCATTGCCATTTTCAAAGAGAGAGACAAAAAATTATGAGCGATCGAATGTGCGTTGCATCTCGATATTCGTATTCGGCGAAATCGTTTCGATCAAAGAGGGATATTTATAGGATTATGAATCAAATACTAGAACGATCTTCATAAATAGCCGTGTCGCGCCGTAATTCAACTTGCAACTCAAAGTTGTTGAATATTCAGAATATTCTAGTCATCGCGTCAAACGTTCCGCGCCCGTTCTCGGCGGCACCTGAATCCTTTCGAAAGAAGAGGAGAAGAGACGCGAAAAAAACATTGTAGCACGTTATTAAGGTAAGTAAAAAAAAAAAAAGGAACTATAGTAAACAATGCTTTGAGCACTCGGCAAATCGTATTTTTTGCAAGTGGTACCGAAATATCGCTGGAAGGGAGAATCAAAGAAACTCCGGAAGGTGAATCCACGGCCGGGCCTTGACGCCGCCCTCTGATACAAGCGCTGATCGTAAGTGCGTCTCTTCACATCTGGAAAGATTTTCTATATCGCCCCGATCTTTTTCGTTACACACGCACAAACTACACGCATATATCTCTCGTTTGCGCTCGAGTTCGTTCGTTCGAGCTCGTTTCGTTCGACAATCTATAAATCCACAATCTATCACATTCTATACAATCTGCGAAGGAGCTTTCTTAGTTTTCGCGTTGACGTTTTGGCTAAAAAAAGCGGCGACTACTCGTCGGTGTTTAATCGTGTTAATCCTACAGATCTGAGACTATTCCGATAACTTCGGCGACATGATTCAATAAATATTTTCAACTATGTTTCCTATGTATAACTATGTATTTTTAACTATCTCTCACGCGGAGCCACGCGTCATCCAAAAACATTTGACTGATTAAACGAGATTAAATAAATTAATGCAACCTCACATAACTGCATTAATATTAATATAGATTGTTTGCACTTATAGGTTCAATCCTTCCTCATCCTTTCTAAAACTAATGCCTAGTCTTTAAAAAACCGCATTGTAAAATTGATCAGATAATAACCAGGGCGTGATTTCCAGCATAAATAGATGGGATCAAGTTCAATACATACTTTAAAATTGAATTTTTCACAAGTAGTATTCGAATATGTTATGTTATCGTAATATATAAGTTATCATTAAAATTGTAATAGAAAGATATTTGTATGCATGTATATATTTACATACACACATGTTTTATACTTTACACATAAAATTTGTAGTAAAGTACTCATAAAAAGTTCAAACATGTATAATCTAGGTTTCATTATTCTTAAGGCGATCAAATATAGCACTATATATGAACATCAGTCAAAGACTGAAGATTAAATATACGAGAATTATGTCATAAATAGGTTCAAAATATTAAAAGTAACGATAAGAGTAACTGTTAAATTCGTTATCGTTACAGTTACAAAAAGAAAAAAGTAATGTCGTTGCCAGTTTATAATTCGCAATTAATATTAGGCGACGATAAAAAATATATTCACTTGTTGAATACACGTTAAATATATAATAACTGTTATTTACTTGTTAGGGTTTTCCAAAAATACACTATTGCGACAGAAGGGTGATAGTTTACGATTTATTTTAATCTCTCTTAATTGACGAGCAAGCATAGGACGATTAAAATCATTCGCGTGGCTCTGATTGCAGCCAGGCTAGCTAAAAAGTTGTAATAATTTTGAAAAACGTTTTTATTTTACATCACCAAAGTTATCGGAATCTCCCCACGCTTTTATGAGAATCTAATTAAAATATCGTCATATCTCGACACGCGTCTCACAGAATATCAATTTATTTTTGTAGCTGAAACATCATTTCTTACCGCAGTCTCCTCGTTCTGAATAATTATCATTGTCTCTGTACGTGTTTGTCGTGTCTACTGCATATACCTACCGTCGCTCAAGACTTCATACGCTTCTGAAATTTCCTTGAATCTCTTATTCGCCTCTTCCAAATTCTCTGGATTCTTGTCCGGATGCCATTTCAATGCCAACTTCCTATACCTGTGGAACAAAAATATGCCGGATATTGCGTTAGCGAGGAGCTTGTCAAAAACACGACTGGGCAACGATCATTTCGCAAGATTTCGTAATTTGATTCAGATCGTTTACAACAAGACAGACGAAACGGACATAAGTAGTAGTAGATGAGGGAAGTCAACGGACTGATCGAACTTACGCCTTTTTGATGTCAGCGCTGGTAGAGGTCCGCTGTACTTCGAGCACTCTGTAGTAATCCACCATCGTTCGGCACGTTCGGGGATGAATCAGGATCTAGGAAACCACCTGTCGGACAATGCGAGAGAATCAATAGATGCGGGAATCGACGATATTGATTCCGATTCCGATACCGCGACAGGTTGCAAAAAAAAAAAAAAGAGAGAAATAGAAAAGAAACGTACGATCGAAAACCAGATGTCGATGTCACAAACATCGTCATGCTTCCTCGAGCGGTAGCTTCCGATAGCGATAGGCGCGATGGCGCGATTTTCACCACGCGACAATCTCTAACGTCCCGACGCGACGCGACGTTCCGACGTGAAGTCGACGGTAGAACTGCGCGCGGGTATCGTTAACGATTTTAAATCGAGCACAGATAGAAACACGCACGCGCGAGCGAGCGTGTTACTAATTGTAAGCGTGGCGCAACGGCGAGATCTCGATGGCAGACCGAAAGCGCGGAAGCCCGAAGACGAAACGACTAAAGTTAGCTAAGCCGACTATCGAAAATAGTTGGAAATATGGAGGTGGAGGTCATTACGATAGCGTGAGTCGCGCTACTACCGGCATCGGTCGTCGTCGCCGCCGCCGCCGCCGCCACCACCAATACATCGATTCGACGCTCAACTTTAAAGCGACTCGCTTTAAATCTAATTAAATCGAATTGTAGTTGAAAACAAAGCGAGAGAAAGAGGAGGACCGGAGATGCGCGCACGTCTCTTCACGATCTTTCGCCATATCGTGACGTTCGTCGGATCGTCGCTACTTCGACCGATACTACTTTTGCTCTCGCGATAACTGGCTCTCCGCCAGGCGCCAAGTAGAATCGCGTTCGTCTACTCCCTGTCGGAAAGAGGAAATCTCTCGGCGGCGAGACACGTGGAGGACGAGAGGACCAGCCGAGATAAGACGGGTAGACGGGCGTACGTGCTTTTTACCTAGGAATAGTGCGAAGCTACTTGCTCGAGAGTGACTCACTCCACTTTGGGATTCGATTTTGGTCTACCTATGCGCGCTACCTACGCACACGTGTGTTTCTCTCTCTCTCACTCTCTATCCTTGTCCGCCTGTCTCAGGTGAAGTCGCGGCCAGCATGCTCGTCATCGCGACGTGGGTGCTTCGCGCGACGCGGCTGCGTAACCCGGCCCTCAGACCCGGGCCGTGTCCAAAATCGAGACGCAAGACGTCTTATGTCCTGATTTTGGACACGCGTGCTGTCTGGGCCGCGACTGGAAATTGTTCGTTTCACCTCGACAATCGTTTCGATCGCTTGATCGGTTAAATCGAATCCCCACTCCCGACCACTCTTTTATCTCTCACGCGTTAACGTAATCGCAAAATTTCTTCCAAACCTTTGATAGTTTATATCTCGGTTTCCGGCAAGATACATCCTCCTGTAGCTCCTCAGTCCTCCGACTGAGCGAGCCTTCCGATCGATCAAACTTGAGAGGACCGATTTCGCGCGCGCGAGAAAACGAGCCTCGCGAGACGAGACATTGCATGCCTGCATGCGTCTCTGTCCCTCTGTCCGTCAATTTGAAAGAGGATACGCGTTCGCGAGAGACGTGTGCGAGAGGGAAGCGATTCGAGCGATTCTAGTGGGCGTCCTTATGCTCTTACAGAGAAGCGTGACGTCAGGTTTACTTATTTGGCCAGAGAACGACATATCGAAGGCAAAGGATTTCGCGCGACGACGCCGACGACGCCGACCGGCCGACCGGCCGACCGCGACGTTGCGAAAGCGCGTGTCCTCGCTCGCGCGAATCTCTTTTCCGCGCGTTATCCTTGTCTCGGACACGATTCAAATATTATCGCGACGATTGCTACGCTGTTGATCGCTCTTATCGCTTATCTTGTTACTTCTCCGCAAAGCAAATGCGCATCGTTTTCACAATTTTCTAATACATTGCTCGCGTGGAAAGCGACTTGTGTTTCACAGGAAACGGTTGTTTCAACATTGATTTATGTCCCGAGTCCCGATAACAGCAGACTGATCTCTCACGGATCGAAGGAAACTACGTTTCAGCATTTCAATATGCTATTTTCTGAACTCTAAAACGCAGTTAAAGAGTGAATTGTTCTTATTCAAAGGAAAGTACTTTGAATTTGTTAGAATTTGCTTTAGATACCTAGCACAGTTATATCGTATCCCATTTTTTACACCCACAAAAAAATAATAAAATTACGTTAATAGAAAATAACAATGGGCTTATTTTCATCTTTTTCTAAATGTAACTCGCGATGGATAAACGTTTTAATTCAATATATACAAATTAATATACTAAAATTTATAGTTTGCATAAATTTATAATTATTAATTATAAATCGGTGTAATGTTCCGAAATATCTAATGTTTCAAATGCTTCATTATCAATATATAATTGTCATAAGCGATTCATTAACAAGAATGCTCGTTTCTTCCAATTACTCAATATGATGCAATGTCTTGAACAGACACCTAATACAATTCAATATTATGATTCTTGATATCTCACCCTGCATTGTGTATTGTGTGCCGTAACCTTTGCCCCGAGTCAAGGTTAGACGGCGAGACATAAAACTGTAATATCAAGCAAGAAAGTCGTCATCATTTGACTAAGGTAGACCTGATTTACGATCGAAACTAGAACTATAAATATAATACTATATATTGCAAATATCTTATCTGTAATTAACAATTATATTATATATACATTCCTAATGGGCCTTGAGTGTAGATGCTCTATTGAGAATCTATTGTGGAAAAAAATTATATACAGAAAGTCACTCGGTGTACTCGTATAGATAAAATATCATTATCGTCGTAGTGATATTACAAGCAAAGTAACGGAAACGATCGATGATAAACTTGAGAATAATAACAGCGGAATGAAATTTTGCCACACCACGTAGCGTCAACGTTAACCTGGTTTACCTACCATGACCTACCACGAGCGCGCTTTATCAACTGAAACTACTGAAAGTGGTGTCCTCGTTTCCTTCGTACTTAAATACTTTTACGCCGAGATATTCGAAGACGCTTTAGCAAACAATACGGAACGTACGAATACGTGCCTGTGGCGGCTGTGGCACGTACTTATAGACGGTATAGACATTAGCTCGGGCTCGGAACTCGGAATCAGTCGGTCGGAACGCGCGAGGCGCGAGGGCTCAATGCGTTTACGTAAAATGACATTTTTCTTGGAAAGAGTTCATTCGTTCCTGGAAGCTTCGGACGCGTGTATAAACGCGAAAAGTTTACAGCCAAAAAGCGGACAGAAGCATGTAACGCGTAACTATGCGACAATTGATTTCACGATTGCATGGCACTCGGTGACATGACTCGGTTACAAGTTGCCTTCGGTACTTACCGAAAATGGCTCCTGTTCGTTGCACGTTAATCGCCAATCGGCACTCTCAATCGATTTTAATGGTCCAAAGTAAACCGTTTTTGTCTCTCGATTGGAAAGAAAGTACACACACATTCGCGAACAAAAGTAGAGAAACGCAACAATACCATGAAGTTGACTCAACAAAGCTTTCGATATACAATGTGGTGTGGACGGTTCGATTTTTCTAGACGTGGTGCAGCTGGTACTATATTACATTCGTGGACACCGATTCGTCCTATACTAGTGATGAAGCAAGTCTGAAAGATGTCCACCCTGGTACCTGTTTTTTTTTCAAGGTATGGGACGAATCGTTGTCCACGGATGCTCGTTTCCGTTAAGTCAGCAGCAGTCAGCAGCCAGCACAAATATCGGCTGTCTCATGAAGCGTATTTATTATTACGTGGCGTATTGATCAATAAGTCAATATATATTCGGAATATATAATAAATATATATTTGGACGTTGGAGAGAGAGAGAAAGCAAAGATTCTAACAATAATGGCTCTCGCAAACTAGACGCGATGAGCGATATCCAATGAGAGTTCTGCTTTTGCAGTGACGTCCGGAAAAAGCAGAGCTCTCATTGGGCGCGTTCAGCAGACCAAGCCGCTCAGTAGCAGTCGGACGTGCGTGGCTCTTACTTTTAGAACCAACCAATCAACGCAGAGTGTTGATAAGACCAACTCAACAGTTGTGTCTGCTGAACGTGCCCATTGGCTATCGCTAATCGCTCATTGCTCATCACGTCCAGTGTGCGAGGGCCATAAGTGCAAAAAGTGTAAGCAACACAAACAGACCAAGTGAAAGGAATAGGGAACAGTTTAATATTAACATATTCATTGTGTATGTGGCATATATACAGAAATAGAATAAAATTTCATCACTGTTCCTTAGCGCTATTCCTCTGTTCGTCTATTCTGTGTTAATAAATTACATATATATTAATGCATTTCATATATTATAATTATAATTATAATATTGAACTGTTCCCTATTCCTTTCATTGTGCGCAGCCTTTAATAGCCGTATTCATAGTCCTTCCTTGAAAAAGGATTCTTTATTATTCCTCATTCTACATTTCATAAATATTAAGGTTTTTTGAATAACTATATAATAAGGAACAAGGAATCCTTATTCCTCAAAAAAGGACTATGAATACGGCTATAATGCATATATTATTTATCCTTGTTTAATATTTGGTGAACAATAAGGATAAATAATTCTGCACATTGTGCGTGAAAAGAGGGGTCTGTTTCTTTTAGATGCACTGGCTGAACTAGGCTGAACTGGTGCAATAAGTTAAAGTGAGACAAGTATATTTTTGTCTCACTCTAACTTACTGCATCAGTGTGCACCAGTTCAGCTAGTGCAGCTAAAAAAAACAGGGGACCTATTACGGTTCTTGACACAAGGTGAAAATTACAAAAGTGAGGAAATTCACTAGAGTATCTATGATTTCATTGGTCGAAATCTAGTAAATCTGTTCACTTTTGTCATTTTCATCTCGTTTCAAGAACCGTAATTGACCGTAATCGACCCCCCCCCAGACCCGCGGACGCATTTAGGGATTGCACTCGGCAGTCTCGGCACCTATTGGAGACCGGGACTAAAGGCATATATGCATGACGGCCAATGCGTTTATTTACTGGATATGCTTCATATGCTTTCGGAATTGTGATTGGTTAACCAGCGTGGCAAAGTTTCTTTCCTTACAATCAAATTTCGACGATTGGAAACAAGTTCGAGATATTTGTCGTTGTCGTTGACGCCCCAAGTGCTGGAACTGCTGGAAGTTGAGTCAAGTCAAAGAGATACTGGAGATACCGGCTGTAGCTGTAGCTGTATCGAGGAGAATCGAATTACTGATTCAACCAGAGTGGATCGGGCTAGTTGAATTCGCCAGCTCGCAAGCCGGAATAGTCGAATTATTGAGCCAAAGTGTTCTCGTCAATGTAATGTGTCGTCTCCGTACGCTTCGTCGAGCCGAATAGAGCAGTGCAAAGCTTGGTAGACCTCTGAGAGTTGAGAGTCGAGTAGCTAATGTGAATGCGAATGTTATATCGAAACTTGTGATCTATCTGTCGTAAACATGGTAAGTCACGTTTCACGTTATTCAACTGTAGTTTCAAGCATTTCAAGATTGATTGATTTGTAACTCTTATAAGAAGTATGACGATGACGTTCTCTTAGACTCGATCTACGATAGATGTAGGAAGCCTTCAGCTTCCTAACCTTTTGCTCCAAGTTTTAAACTTGACGTTTTTTCCCGACAAAAAAGCGCTTGTCCGGCGCTGCCTTAATTCCTAAGCTTTAAGCGAACTGTCCAGATCGTAGCTGTAAAGTTTAGAGCTTGTTAGAACAAGTCAACGTCACAGCTCAAAGCTGAAAGCGAAAGACTAAAGGCTTCCTACACCTATTGTAGACCAGGTCTTAGCCGTACCAATTGCGGAAAGTGTGCTAGAATTCGTGGGTTCTAATAGCCATTTCTTTGGATTTCTAATTTCAAGCTAAATGTCTTTCTAGCTAAAGTCACCCATGTTTGCATACTGACGCAGCGGTCAGTTTCAAATTGTTAATCATGTTAATGTATCTGATATGTTTTGTGCCATTTATCTTGTTTATTTTACAGTCGGGAACATTAAAGCCGTATTTGACAGCAGTCAGGCGTACGCTTACCGCCGCTATGTGCCTGGAGAACTTCTCCTCTCAAATTGTGGAAAAACATAACAAGCCCGAGGTAGAAGTAAGGGCGAGCAAAGAACTGCTTTTAACGCCCATCTTGATAAGTAGAAACGATAAGGAGAAAGTCTTGATTGAATCAAGTATAAATAGTATGAGAATAAGTATTGCTGTGAAACAAGCTGATGATCTAGAAAAAATTCTTTGTCATAATTTTACAAGATTCATGACAATGAGGGCCGAACATTTTATGATTCTCAGAAGAAAACCGGTAGAGGTGAATAGCCACAAGTTTATTGCGAGCTTTTAAGCTTCCATGATTTGTAATAATAATAATATTAACGTAATTTATTTTTTAGGGCTATGACATTAGCTTTCTAATTACCAATATTCACGTAGAACAAATGTACAAACACAAGATAGTAGATTTTGTTATTCACTTTATGGAAGAAATTGATAGAGAAATCAGCGAAATGAAATTATCGGTTAATGCTAGAGCACGCATATGTGCGGAGGAATTCCTAAAAAGGGTGAGTATCCAACTTATTCTATTCCATGTCTACTCTCACTTTGTCATCTTATTTACTCAATATTGCATTTTCTTTTCAGTTTTAATTCATTTATTATTGATCATTACCAGCTGTTTGAAGAATCATGGGATACGTTGCGATTGTATTGTCCAGTGGATCGTTGTACAACTTTTAACAACTTGGACAATATTAAGAGACACTTTTATAAAGTATCTAGTGACGTGTTCTTATCCACATGCCACTTAGAGTGTTCCATGTTGAATGGATCGATGTATAAATCATCAATGTTATTTGCTTCAAATCTTGTTATACGAAAATAATACGAAGCGATATTAGAAGTGAGTATCGCTGTTTAAACTTTTGTGAAGAATGTTTTTTAAGTATTTGTTTAGTGAAGTAGTTGTGTAAGTCTGAAACCAATTCGCATTCAATGAATTGTAAACAAGAAAGATACTTTGATAATATATCATAAGCATAGTTAGTTTTAAGCAAATCTACAAGCTCGAGTATACAAATTTTTTTTTCAAAGTAAATCAATTGACGTGGAATAAGTCATTTTTACTAATGTTTGCTAAAAGAGATTCTTAAAAAAATTATGTATATGTATGTATGTATGCATGCATGTATTTTTATCCCTATGTAACTAACTATATAATTTCAAAACAAAAGTATTACACGATTATGTATCACATTCGTAATTATTAGCGATACTTAGCCAAAGTTACATCGTTATAGAAATTATTTTGTCAATTTATCGTAATAAGATTTAATAAGTAACCTTAAGTAACTATGGGTGCGTGTTTTGCAAAATTTCATTTTTCAAATTTGTATACTTTACATACGAGAACTTTTATACAATTTTCTTATAATAGTACATCTCTAATTGAAATAACATAGATTTAAATATCGTAGACAAATTGCAATACCAAATAAGATTTAGGAAGATTCGTTATTTCAAAATTTGTTTGAAAAATCTTTACATATAATAACAATAGATCGTTTAATAAATATATCATTTACTTTTCTAAAATGTTTTATTATTTCGAGGGAGAGGGGGAGAGAGGGAGGAAGAGAGCGAAATCGATAAGAAGCATACATCTCGAAGAATATTTTTGCGTTTAAGTATGGTGTTACTGCATGATGAAATCGTTTATTACATTTAATTTTTTTTAACATAATTTTAACGAGAAAAACGCGCGGATATATTCATGTAATGTGTTTTCAGGCTTTAACGAAAGAATGAAAAATAATATCCTTCGACAATTTTACACTACGTATAATCAAAACGCGTGTTATACTTGCAAGAGAAACCTATAAAGTTTTATTTTGAAATAAAATAATATCGAGTTATATGTACGCGTATATGCTGTAAAGGGGTAGATCAAAATTGTTGTTGATAATCTATCATTTTCATGTACTTAGAACTTATCACGTTAATTACGAGAATTTCACGTATTCAGACGTAATGGATAATATCCGTTCTGATTCTGTTTCGAAAATTCCGCAACGGATGCGCGCCTTCGTATCTGCAACCTGTGAGCAAAGTTGTAGAGCGGTATTCACATAATCCGATCTTATATTTACAAGATCGTTTTAAGCCTGATCGTAGGCGGTTTTCAGGCTATCAATGAAATGACTGCACAGCGTCTCGAGAACTTGAAACATCCTCGTACTTAAAACGATCTTAAATATGAGCTTGGACTATGAATAGGGGTTATAAGTATAGTTCCGTAAACTGTTGCGTAAAATTCATGATAATTCTGTAAATATAAGTAAGTAGAAGAGCTTTCCGGTGAGTTTTTCCTATGATCGATCGATCGTCAGTCGTCAATTCGGTGTGTTTCGAGTTTTCCAAGATTATGCGAATTTTCCCTTCTCAATCTACCGATCTCTATTAAGCTCTATTTTATCTTTCTTTGCTATTTGTAAATAAAACTCACTAGTCAATCTCCCAGTTAACTTCTCATGTGAAACTTATTGCATTATTTTAGAATTAAATAGAATATATTTTTAGCATATCAGAAAGATTGTTTCGCTAAAAATTTATTCATTTTGTTTGTGGTACAGAACGATAGCGTATTCGAGTTTTTAAAATCTAATTTATCCTTTTATTGATAAATTTATAACTTTATTTATAATAATAAGTAACAAGTGCATTTGTCGTTGATAAAACTGAAGTGAATCAATTGACATAAAGTTATAAACGATCATAAGTTCTCATTAAGTTACGATTTTGATTAAATTCCAATTAACTTAATCGGCGATTAATTCTTAACCGACAGAGAATTGTACAGTAAAGTTTGCAACTGTAAAATTTTCAATTGTTAATTTTCTGCTTTAATCTTGTTTGCTAATGCGACAAGGAACAAAAAAAAATTAACAATTCTACATCCATGTTAACAAAATAGTACGAATATTATTTGATAAGTTAATCGCCGATTAAGCTAATCGAGAGTTTCATCGAAGTTGATTTAAACGCAAGATTTTTTCGAGAGTTTTACTACAGGTTGTAGTAAAAACGAAAGACTGTTGCTGCACCGCCTATAGTGTTGCACAATCTTGCGTTTTGTCTTTACGCCAATAATACATGCAATAATCAAATTAATACAAAAAACAATCGAGAGATAACTTTGTCATCGTTATTTTTATCGTTATTTTCTGTTTTCGTTAACATTTCTCGCTTTGTTTTTTTCTTTTTGCCAGAATTATTACTCCAGATTTCTTCTCATTTCTTTCGAGAATACTTCGTATGCATCAAAGTTAAATCTTTCAGCTTATACACGTATATTTCTACTTCAAATGTAGGCTTTAAAATTTATTTTTATTCTCATTCTTCTATTATGTCCGTTTCCACGTAACACGCGGCTCATCTAAACCCGTTATCTATATTCGTTCCGATTCGTACGTTTTTACTTCTCGTTCTTTTGGATTATTTTTCTATATCTCGTAGCGGACTGCACTCGGGCTTGCGCGACGCTGTTGGCTTTTTACGCCGACGCCAACGCCGACGCCGACGCCGACGCCGACGCCGACGCCGACGCCGATGTCGACGCAGCGTTCGCGATTTGGAGTCGATGTAGTCCGAGGCTCGCCGTCTTCGGACACAGGGGAGCTAGAAGAAACCGAAGCAAAAGAGTCCTTCATCATTACTGCCGTTGTGTTGTCGTCATCGTACTCATCGATGTAATAAGAGAGTAACAGAGACAATATAAAAATTACGCGGCAAAAAAAATGGAGAAAGAAAGAGGGAAAAGTGCGAATTATTGATAAAAATAAAGGGAGACAGTGAGAGTGAGAGAGAGAGAGAGAGAGAGAGAGAGAGAGAGAGAGAGAGAGAAAGAGAGAGAAAGAGAGAGAAAAAGCAACCAAAAATCAAGGCTATAAAATCAAAAAAGGGGTGAGAAAAAGAGGGAGAGAGAAAGAAAGAGAGAGAGAGAGGAGGGGGAAGAGCGCAAGGAATACATAAAAAATAAAGTTTAAAGAGAGATAGAAACATAGGAGACATCCCTACAGGCATTTCCAGAAAGAAGAAAAGCGATATCGAAAACAGGAAGGGGTGAAAGTCGGTAAGATAAAAGCAGAAGGGAGGGAGGGTGGGAGGGAGGAAGCGTAAGAGAGAGATACGAGGAAGGGGCGACACAGTGTGTGTGGGGGAGAGCCGCAAATTGTGGCGTTACGAGAGAGAGAGAGACACAAAGGAGATCCGAAATCGAAAAGTTCGCAATTGTGGCTGCTGCGGTTAGGTAGGATGCGTGTGCTTGGGTGCGGCGTCTCGTCACCACCCGACAAACGACAGTTTAGCAGTGTCAACGTCAACAGCATCCGTAATACTATCGCCAACGGCGGATTCGTCGGTGCCGGGAACGACAACGACAGTCCTGCGAGAACGTCTCTCGGGAGCGCGGGATCGTTCGCGAGAGGTAGCGGCCGAATCGCCTGCAAAGACGGGAGATCCCCGTGGAGCTTGACAACTCCGTACGACCGCATCATCACCACCGCCGCTACCACCGCCGCTACCACCACCGTGTCGTCCGTAACTCGCCCGCGAGCTCGCGAAGAAACGGAGCACCTTCGATCCACGTGTCTCATCACCCTCGGCAACTCGCGGGAGCGATCGTACGCCAGCAACTGTACGCCGAGAAGGGCGCCTAGAACGTGGTCCCCGTCGTTCGGACGATAACGGAGCTTCGACAACGGGTAATTTCGACACCGCGCTCGTCGGCCGAATTAAGCTCTTCTTCCGCATGGTAACGACCACCGTTGGACTTGGGCGTTAAAGCGCGGCGTCGAGCGGCGAGTCAGACCCTGGCGGCAAGGTCGAACCAGCTCCAGCCTGGCTCTCAGACAACGTTCAGACTACTCATGTTCATCCCGGACACTCTGAGAAGCTGCATGGTGGAACCGGATGTCTCGACTTACCTGCAGGCTCCTTCCGTCGGACAGGTGCTTACAATTACATTTTTAAAACGCCTCGCTTACGTTCGCCGCGCGCGCGCGAAAATTACTCGATTTTGCTAATTCGTTTATACGTGCGCTTCCGCTACCACTCAAATTTTGTTTTGCTAATCGAAAATTTTTAAACATCAATGTTTTTTTTTACATTGTAACGGTGGTCATCCGAGTACGCGTGATTTAAATCCGCGCGCTTCTCGATGTTCCATCCCAAACAACACAATGTCCAAAATCGGGACATAAGACGTCTTATGTCCCGATTTTGGACGTTGTGTTGTCTGGGATCACCTTGTTTACTTGACCGCTCTCTTCTGTCCCGCGAGATATTTTATGCTGCGTACGTAAAATCTCGTCGGTTTATTTTCGACTATAATGTCCGCATGTCGCGATTAATTCGTGTGATGTAAATTTTGGGGGGTGTATACATGTGTGTGTGTTTGTGTGTGTGTAAGCGCGCGCGTGTGCGTACGTATATACATATACTGCGCATCAATCCAACGTGCGTTGATGCCTTTCTTATTCCAAATTCTAAACTTAAAATTTGATTCGGAGTATCATGGATATACCGGTGCGCAGAGTTGCACCGTGAATTTTGAACAATCGAGCAACAAATTCTACCGTTTGAACAAAAAAGCGTTAAAACAGGGGGAGAGAGAGAGAGAGAGAGAGAGAGAGAGAGAGAGGGGGGGGGGGTTGACAAAGGAGATGCAGGAATCGCGTTGATGTCGCGTTGCGTCGCGTCGCGTCAGTTCGAGGGCAAATCTAGTAAGCTAGGACAGGGGCTATTAATAACTGTTTAGGATGCCGTACCTGGGCGCCGCGCGCGCGGTACCGTCCGCGTCTCGATACGCGCGTCCCGACGACCGGCGTCTCAGTGTCGTCGCGACGACCGACGTCGCATCCACCGTTCCGTTCGACGGCGAAACGTAGGTCGCGTACGAAGCCCGCGGAATCCGAAAACAGCGCCCTCCCACGTAATTACGCGCCCAACTTGCTTTGTCGAAGGTAGCGGGGTTCGCGCTAAAAAAAAAGAAGTTGTCTCAGCAGTTTTCGTTATCTCGTGCCAAAAAGTTACGACGTTCCTTCAAAATCGTCCATCTCGGCTGCGCCTCGTCGGGGATCGCCGATCGCTTCTACGCGCTGAAATGGCGCGGTGCAGCGTACCTCTCGAAAGAATATGGGAAAACTCTACCACACGCTTCGTGTAGAGCCAGATGCTCGGCCGACACGGATTCTCGATATTCGGATTCGCTATTCGCGTGGGCGAATCAACGTGTTAAATTTACGTTTGGTTCCGCTGATTGATTGTCGTTACGTTTTTTTCACGCCGACCTAGTGCATTCTTATGCGTTATTTACCGTAGAGCTATTTACCGGTGGCCCGTTCTTATAGCGGCTCCCGTCGTCTCTTTATCGCCGCTCATTTATTATACCGTTAGGTAGAGAATTTCTATTTTTTTTCTTTGTTTCCATAATCTCTACGACCGCGATAAAAATTACGTTGACCCGATATACATCGAGATGTTTCATCGGAATTGTGACTCGTGAGTTTTTTCGAACAAGTTTGCGCCACGCGATATTGCGCGAGTAAGAACAGAAGAGGAGGAGAAGGTGGTGGTAGAGGAGGAGGAGGAGGAGGAGGAGACGGTGGTGGCGGAAGAGAAGAAGGAGGAGGAGGAGGTGACGGACTCTAATTTGAGTTCGCGAATCGCTCGTACCTGACAATGGTACGTTTCCCGTGTGACCATCGTTTTCCGGGAGTGATTTACTTTGCGCTTCTTCCCGCTTGGCTGCTCGTCGGTTTTTGGCATGAATTTTCTCGCGTGAGAAGTAACTTACAGTAGAGAAAAAGAAAGAACAAAATAAAAAAAGAAATAGAATACGAGAGGACGCGTTTCCTTTGGCTTTCTCGCGCTTGTACCTCCCTCAGCCCAGATAACACAATGTCCAAAATCGGCACGTAAGACGTCATTAAGACATCTTCTTTTATGTCTCGATATTGAACATTATATTATCTGGGAAGTATATCCCAAAATTCGTCGCGCGTTCCTCTCCAAAATGTGTTCTTTATCCCTACCGCGATGACGAGAGAGTGTTTGACGTTTCTGATTTTCGTTGGTTTCCCCGAAAATAACAACGTTACGTAGACAGATGGACGCGCGGGTAAACGTGCAATGGCGCGTCCGTAAAACGTCCGTGAGCGACGGCCTCGACTCCCAGTTGCATTCGTTTCTCATTACTCCGTTCGTACGTATACGTTCGTTCCTTCGTTTGATAACCGAGCGCATCTGACGTCCGACGTCTGACGAGGCGCCGAAGGAAAGAGCGCGAACGCATATCAGTGTATACTACTCCTTCGATTCCTTTTTCTCTTTTCGTCGCTTCGTCTCGCGAGCAAACGTCTCGAGAACCTGACGAGATCGCTGGCGTTTTCGATTCTTAAAATTTAAACTGCGCGGCGAGTTTAGAATAGTTTCTTTTATAAAGGAAAAGAAGTCGTAAGTGAGATTCAATAGGGACGAATTTGAACGATTTTCCTTAAAGAAAGAAATGTAATTTCGCTCTTAACGTTAGAGACCCCACTTGGAGAGGACGATCACTCGCTTAACACGAATGTCCAAATGACTTCACGGTAACGGCGATCGATAAAAATTATGCGTTATTATCGTACGATTGATACAGATCGCGCGGAATACATGGACGCGACAGCGTTTACGGAAACCACAGTGTCGCAAACAAGATCGCCGGCGTTGGCAGGCGGCTCCTCGACGGTGTGAGACATTTTGTCAAGAGTGCAGATAGATTTGTCGAATTAATTAGAAAAATACGCGAGGAGGAAGAAAAGTGCGCGAGCGCGGGAGTCGAGCGAGTCTCGGAGTCTCGGAGTCTCGGGAGGATTCACGATTGTTGATTCTTGGACCGCTGCTCGGCTACTCGCGTGGAAGATTTAAAGTCGCGGGGAAAACCAATCGCTTCTTCTCGAGAACAGATCCGATCGGTACAGATGAGGCCGCGAGCGATCCACAACTGTGGCGCGAAGGAGTATCGGGATCTTCGCAATCGTTACTGCGAGGATCGCTGTATCTGACAGCTGGACGCTGACAGGAGGGACGGACAGACGGTAGTGTGCTACAGCGGCTGCAGTGTTTGCGAATACTCGATGGTTCGTTTGTGTTCTTTAGCAGTTTATTCGTAGCATTCAAAATACGCACGACGAAAGGATTCTAATTTTTGTTATAAATAGAGGAGGGGGGGGGGAGAAGATATTGAATTAAGTCCACTGCTATCTATCGCCCGTATCAAATATGATATGTTTGATATTGAGTGCATTGCAAATATAATTTAAATTTCATTTAACATACGTAGACAAAAGAAACTATATTGATATATAAATCAAGTATGAGCGATAAAGAGATAAAGTACTACTAATAAAACAAAAATAAAAGTTTATGAAAGAATAATTAAACAAAAATTAAGATAAAAAAACTACTCTTTGTATTACAAAGTACGTGTAAACTATCATAAACTGTTCAGTAAAAAATTATAGCTTAAATTTATAGCGGAATTAATAAAAAGATCGACACAGCTGTGTCACACAAACCACAATTTTTTAAATATTTATATAATTTAATTTATTTAATTGCTATAACTTCATCATTGTTATCCATTATTTCAATTTTCTTTCGCTTTTTCTCTGCTACACGATTATACTTTTTTTTAACCAAGCTAAGTAGACTAGATTATTCTTTAATAACATATCGGCTAAACAGTCAGCAAATCAGATAAACTTTTTTTTAATTTAAAGAAAGCGGTTTCTTTCAATAGTTTTATCTATGTAAAGACTTACGTCGAGAGACGTTCATCAAGAGAAATGATAAATCTCATACATTTTGTTCACTTCAATGTTTGCAGTTTTGTGTACACACATAAATAATAGGGTAAATAACATATGTTTGATGTATTTGTCTATTTTATTAACAAAGATATTTTAAGCTGTGAAAGCTAGTTGAATTAGTAGTTTGGGATATTGTTCGTGTCGTTTTTTTTACTTTTGCGTGAATTTTTCCACCGATATCCGTGATTTACAAAACTTGCGTTTTTATGAAAATCGAGAATTGCATGTGTACTTGAAAACAAACTTTCATAATTGCGAGACCCAAAGTGCTTAACACTCACTGCCACGTGTTTACGATACATCTAAAACCTAATCATGCAGGCCAGGTGTATCGTAAATAATACACATAATACACTGAGTATTATCAGGTCAAAAGCTGCAAAAAAAAAGGAAATGGAAAAGCTTAAATACTGTCATAAAAGAATCGGCAATAAAATACAGCAACTGGTAAAAAAAACCGCCTTGGGCTCAGGGCGTAATTTTTTTTATTCCATTTGGCAGTAAAAGTGTTAATATGATGACAATTCTATATGGATATGGACAATCCTATGAAAGGAATAAACATTGTACGATTGCAGGATGAGTTCCATCCATTTATCGAGGCTCTTCTACCATTCGTGAAGTCTTTCTCGTATACATGGTTCAACCTACAAGCTGCCAAGAGGCGATACTATAAGAAACACGAAAAACGGATGAGTTTAGAAGAGGAACGTCAGTGTAAAGAGGAACTCCAGGTAAGGGATTATTTGAAATTAATCTAATGGACGTTTCTCTTTGATTTTTTTATCGGTATACATAAATCAAACTACGGATAAATTGGCTTTTCGAACAATTAATTCGAGGCAAGAATTGTGTGTGTGTGTGTGTGTGTGTGTGTGTGTTTGATGTGTGCGCGTCTGCGTGCGCGGTATAAATTGAACAATTACAAAACTTAATAATAAATTCGATTAAAGAGAAAAACGCCATTTACGACCTGGACTGGATCTTGACAACCTAATAATAATCCTTGTGTTTTGTACACCTTTTTCCAAACTCATTGTTAGTCAATTACGCGTTGATTTTTTGTCAGTCTTTAAAACACAGCTCCTAGTTGAAACAGTAAATCCCACATACCTAAATCGATAATCGATGTAAATTTTGATGCTAATAAGCATCTTTATTAAATTACTGTAAAGAATTTATTGCGAAAAATATCACCCCAAGGGGGTCATTTAATAGGGATGCTCACTAGCATCAAATCCAGTCCAGACCGTAAATGGTGTTTTTCTCTCTAATTGATTGCATATCATAACGGTCGTGTTTCACTTATTATTATTGTTAATAATAAATAGTGAATCTTTCGATTAACTTTTTTTTCTCTAGCGGCCCGTCGTGCCCGTTTGACGATACCACGATTGCTAATGCTATCGGCCCGTTGCTTCTCTCCACCGTGATTCCCATCCTCCCTCGCGACAGCGTTCGATCAATATTTTAATTTCGCGATGTTGCGGTATTTAGCGGAAGAGCGGCCGGCATTAACTAGTGGCGCATAGGCGTTTCTTCTTCCTCTATTTTTTAGCGTTTTCGTCCCATTTCCGAATGCATCTGAAGAATGAGTCTCATGCAAATTAACATTGCTAATTGTAAAGAATCTTTGTACATTCGACAAATTCGATAATTTTCGCATGAGGCGCGGGAATGTCTCGTGGAGTAGCCCATCAGGTAAAATTTCATCTAAAAAATTACGTTTAAATTCGCAATCGTTCGCGTATGATAGTTTGTCGGTCCAGTAAACGTATAAATAAAATAAATGAAAGTGGAAGGTCATTGGCCAACACACAAAACACAATGCTAAAGTATATTCTCTGTGTACAACTACTGGCACGATGCGGTGTTTGTATGCAGTGACATGACTACGTTTTATGAAATCAAAATATAGTTTTGTTTTCTTTTTTCTTTTTCAAACTATTTTTGAAGGCTATTAACCAATGATGTGATAGGCATTATTCCAAAGTAGCTTACTTTGTAGGCTAAAAGAGCGGGCCGATTTAATTAGAATACTTAGCTGGAAGCTGGAACGAGGAAAACAAAGAACTTTTGAATCGTGATTTGATCGAGCGACGATAGGATTATAAGCGTTGTGAAACAGTCTCGTTTAAAGTCCAATTGTCATAGCGAAATAAGAAAAGTGACCTCGATATTGACCTCGACTCGATTGTTTTTAATAAAAGTAAGATATCTTCGCGTACACGTTTCGATTTCGTCATTATTTAGCTCCATTGAGACTTGTCAATCGTCGTAACGTGCGGTACATTTTGTAAGCGTAGAGACGCGGCGCATTTATACGTTGGGAGAAAGAAAATCCGGGAATAAAGGGACGTGGATGGAAAACAACGAGAGATACGAGCCAGACTACGCGCGACGCGAGTCTGTCGTTTTCTCTTAATTTCGAGACAGACCGCAGTACGATATCGACTACTTCAATTCGGGTGTAGGGCGCTGTGAGGGACCGAGACGAGCGAGTAGCATGGAGGAAAAGAGGTAGGAAGTCAGAGCAAAAGAAAGAGAATGTGAGCAATGGACGGATAGACGGGGATAAACCAGAGTGGGAAAGGGGATGCGCGCGGTACGGTACGGTGCGACCGGGCGCTTCCCGGCGCGGCGCGGCGCGTCGCTCGTAAGAGGAATAAGGAAGAGCGTACGTATGCGAGAGGAGTATGTGCGGCTCGGCGGAGGGTTGAAAAGGGTCGCGGTGGATCGAGAGAGTCCGTGCGAGAGAAGCGGAGGAACGCTCTGGAGGATCCAGAGTGAGAGAGAATGAGAAGGGGAGGGTGAGGGGGAGGGGAGGGCACCAACACCCACGAGAAGTATCCGCTATGCGAGCGTTGCGCACCAACTTTTCGGCAATGGGGGATGAGTTGGGGTTGGGAGAGGGAGGGATGGCCGGTCGGTTTGGGGCGGTCGAAAATGGTGTTGGAGGACGTAGACATGTAGCGCATACGCCGTCGCGACGGAGGCTGCGGCTACGCGGCGCCTACCAACCACCATCTATAATCTCTATGCAGATATCGATTTTCTACCCTGTATTTCCTAAATTTATGCAAACTAGCAGCGCGCTACCCTTTCTACCGTACCGCTCGTTGCTCGCATTGTCACCTTTTCCGGCTCGTTAGCCGGGAACTACCACGTAACTGTGGATTCGCTTCGATATATATGTTACACCTTATAATCGTCATTCATCCAAAAGGAATAACAACCGATCACCTGCATCTACATTCCATGTTAAATTAATCGTTTTATAAGATGAGTGAGACAAATCCTGTTTTTACGACACCCGGTGTCCTCGATACCGTGCTGAAACGAATCTCGGCACATTTGTCCCTAATCGTCCGATTATTCGTATTAATAGACACTTTGAGACGTTTTGTCGTTTGACCGATAAATTAGCAGGTACAATATGTTTTAGTTTCAATAAAATAACTTCCCAGACTGCATCATGTCCAAAATCGAGATAAAGTCATCTTTAAGATGTCTTAAATATTTGTCTGGTGTAAAATGCTGTCTGTGTTGGTGGTACAGTGTCACAAAGTTCCCTTTTGCGCATTGCTGAGATTTATTTCAACTCGCATATAAATGTTTAAACGTATAAGCGAGACGACCCTTTTCTTGCGTAAGATCCGTAATTTCCGAGGATCTCAAAGGTTACGCGAGTCGCCGTGTTACGCGACGTCGCCAAAACAAATACGATTCGCGAATCGCGAGTAAAAACACCGTGAGAAATTTTCAGAGAATCTCGAGACGGCGGATGTTCGATATCCGCGCGTCGTTTCACGACCGTTAAACGAAAACTCGAAACTACGAGTTGTTTGTACTTGACTGTGTGAAGCACAGGGCGGAAAAGTAAAACGAAAGTGTTGCTCCTCAAACGAAGGGCGAAAGTACATCGAGCTCATAGGGGTGTCGACAATTTCAACTTTAATGCTTTCCGTGGTTCGTACTCGGAATGGGAAAGACAGCCGATGCCCTCCGCTTCGAGAGACAGTATATATAATATCTACAGCGTTTTACGTAGACCTCGGAATATTGCCTATAAAGAAATCGCGGAGTCGCTTTGTTCGCGTCATAACGTAGTAACGTAAAGGGTCGGGCAGATATACATGGCTGGGAAGTTTGCCAAATTAATAAATATATTCCCAGGCTCTCTCTTTCTCTCTCTCTCTCTATCCCACACACACACTTTGAATTTTCTTCATTCCTTTCCACGTATTACAACTTATCCTTACCGTCGAACGACAATTCAGCCCGAACTGACATTATCCGCGACCTCAAATGCGATGTTGCATTTTGCGTTGATATACTTGTACGATGACAGATTTCATCCTCGTTACATACGTTTAGTTTTCACTTCGATCAATGACGTTTTCTTCATACATTACGAAAGTACTTAAAATACTTTTATGCAACACGTGCATGGAAAGTGGCCCATTACGCACGCTACGCGTGCGTGATAGACCACTTTTCACGCATTGCACTTGCAACATAAAATAGGGTGTGTAAGCCGTGCGTAAAGATGAAAATTCCTATTAAAATCTTTTGAATTACTTTAGACTGGAGGCATGATTTTTTGGGAATTTACAGTTTCGCGCCTTCAACCGCTGAAATTCGTACATTTTTATTCGTTGACTTGTAATATGCGGGGGGGGGGGGGGAGAGAGGAAAATGTTTTTTTGTTCACTCTGTTTTATATTCTTGACAATGAGTCCGACATTGCCATTACGTTTGATGCTCTATTACATATTGTTGTCATATTATCATCAAGTATGCTTTGATTATTGTATTCTAAGTTTTGTGATATCAATCTTATATAGATACATCATTTAACAAAATTCAATGTCTGTTTTTAAATATTTAAGTAATTCACCGCTGATGAAGACTTAGTTATACATATAGTCGAAACGTTTGGTTGTTGCACATTTCTTAACTTTCTTCCTTCTTATTGAATGAATTAATATTTAACACCTTAATTCACTTCTCGTCTAAATCACTCGTCTTTTGGCCGATGTGATTTACTTTATAACATTATGAAAATATTTTGATGTTTTTGTTTCGCTTTTTTGTTCTACCTCTCTCTCTCTCTCTCTCTCTCTCTCTCTCTCTCTCTCTCTCCCCCCTTTACGCTCTCTCTCATTTTTCTGTCTCGCTAAATACAGCGGTTGTCGCCTTTGAGAAAAATTGTATATCAATAATGCAAAATGCATTACCAATGTTCGTTCACCATTTTGGATCGACAATGCAATACGCACTTTATTTTCCATGTTTAAAAATAGCTCGTGAGTATGGACGTTCGTAGTGATGCGTTTTAGTCTCGAGATTCAAGATCGCGGAAGACAAAGTCAAATCGAGAGTTGGAGCGATGATAAAATTAACGAAGAAAATGTGTACTATGTCGAGGAAATAAATCGTTGCGGTATACTGTATGACAAATTAAAAGTATTGTTCTCTTCTGATAATGTCATCGCCGAAGCTACGAAGGGTTTTCTTCACGGGCAAAGCGATATCTATCGGGATGCGACGGAATGGTACATCGATATAGGTATATCGGTAGAATCGCGATGCGCTCGAGAAAAAGGGAGAGAAAAGGAGAGAAAGAAAGGGTCAATTACAGGGCGCGAACTCTTATATTTGATCTAAAATAAATCGGCAGCAGCTGCCGTGGCAGGTGTCGTCGGGTAAGATTCGTCCGATAAGATTCGTAGCGGCAACGATCGATTCATCTCCCTCTCAGTCTAAAATAAAATGTCTAATCTATATATAAAATAAAGTTCACAATTAATTTAGAGAAAATGCCATTTACGGTCAGGCCGGGATTTTAGTAGCCTAATAATATTACTTGCGTGAATTTTACGTACAACTCATCGGCCTAGCAAACCATGCGTCGTTATTATACGGACTTGAAACGCAGTGATCTCAACTAAGGAGCATTACATAATTAAATTAATAATCAATTTAATGACACTAATATATATACCTAAATTGTTTTAGAATATTAGAGATATATGGAAAGTACGGGACACATAGGATATGTTGCGAAAAATAACATCCCAGCCAGGATTCGAATCTGGACCTAGCCACAGCTGCATTCCGTGCGGGTGTTTAATTAAACCAATTCGGCCACTGAGGCATGTAAATAAAATTTATATTAAACGTTTGGATTTTATTTAACTGGATTGTTTTGGGGTATTGCTTCGCGTGTCACACTTTATTGAATGACAATAAAGGGAAATCCAAATAACACAATGTCGAAAATCGGGACGTAAGACGTTTGATGCTCTTTTACATTGTTACATATTATTATATCAAGTATGCTTTGATTATTGTACTTAAATTTTGATATCAATCCGAGATACATCATTTAACAACATTCAATGTTTATTTTGAAATATTTAATTCACCGCTGATGAATGATAATATAGTTGAAACGTTTGGTTATTGCACATTTCTTAACTTTCTTCCTTCTTTCATTAAGATGTCATTATGACGTCTTTAAGACGTTTTAGAATCTTGTGTCCCGATTTTGGACATTGTGTTATCTGATGGGAAGACGCCGAAGGATATATATAAGCGCAATCGTGTGAAATTAGTGACGCGGGCGAGATTGCCGCGCCTTCGGGATAGCGCATCAAGCGCATGTACGCATGTCACGATATTATGCGTTCTCGGTACAATTCCCGTGAACACGGCTCTTCTTCGCATTCGGCATACCTGATATCGAGTATACGCAGGATGCACCGTAAACGCGCGACGCTTTCTCCAGCGAGGAGCGGACCTCAGCGGCAAATGCACCTCTTACCTCTTATCCGCTTTATTCGCGAATGCGCGCGCGGGCGCGTACATACAAGCGTGTAAGCGTGTAAGAACGTGCCTGACATTTTATCCGCGCGCGCCCGCGGCCTGCGCTCGCGCCCGTGCCCGTGCACGGAAATGGGACGTCGCGCGTCGATGCGTGATAGCTGCGCGGATAGCGTCGCGTCGTTTCGACTATTCTATTCCTCGACCGCCCTTCGTCTGATCGCAATCACGGTACATGCGAACGATCGTCAAGTTAATAATACTGTTAATTATATATATCCTCGTTAAGTTGACTGCTAAATTTTAATGTCATATGGGCAGTAGATGTAATAATTTTTCTGCCAAAGATTTCTTTAGAATTGAATTGCAAGTTGCTGATATATTGTATTTTATTTTGTTATTTGTTTAATTTTATCTCGTACAACCGTTTAATCAAAGTTAACTGTAAGATTGATCGCGATGAGTTAGAACAAACGATGGGCTCAACAACCTAATCTAACCTAATGGACATTCGTTTCAAATACATAAAACGATAATCTTGAATCGTATCAAATATTATCAATATCAAGAGCTTGAATATTTCAAAAGTCATGGATGTGTTTTGAAAATTAAATTTTATTCTCTCCTTAAATTAAATCTTTTGTTTTCGTAACATTTCAGAGTCTACAATAATTTCAGTTTCCCCTCATCCGTTTTACAGGTAGACATAGAAAACAACTTCATCTTTGAAAATTCGAGATGTTTCAATTGTGTTCGAGAAGAAGATATCCGAGGAAAGATTTTTCAGGCATTCAAGACCTTGAGGAGACTCCGGTTTCAAATAGGCAATTTGAATCTTTATAGACGATGAAATTGTTGGAAAACTTTAAAGAGAAGAACTTGAACGTCCTCCATCGCTAATAGAACACGTGGGCTAGAGATCTTCCGCCTCCTGTCGTACAAAGTGTACGGACGTGTGTACGTGCATAGCAAAATGGGCTAGGCGAGATAGATCGCGCGCGGCGCGCAGTACGCTTGGATGCATTCCACGCACTTTCAATGCATTTCTCAGGGTTCTTATGCATGCGTGTATTTGCTATTCCGAGGGTGACAGGGGTCGCACGCGTGCGCTGCATATCGCGGACGGCCGAAAGACGTCCCTCGTCTCCTCCTCGAGCGATTGTCGCTGCTCGCTATTCTCGCTCGGCTCGGGGCATACGAACTTTATAAACTCGACGAAATATCCAGATCGAACGTCACTGAGATGCTTTCGGGTCGTTCCGCCGTACAAAAATTTTGATATTTATTTAAATCCCTAACAAAATTGCTCTCTATATAGTTACATTACCGTTGAACTCATGCAAGTACCTTTTTTTTATCAGGAAAGAAGTGACAATTACGTGTGCGTAATCACGTGTTAGATCACGATGGCAATCGATGGATTGTCAACGATTGTCAATGGTACTATGGTACTCTGGTATTTGAGATTTACGATGCCTTTCTTTTCCTTAGAACGAGAAGCTGGAAGTAAAACAGAAATGGGCCTCACGGCTTCTTGGAAAATTGCGGAAGGATATAACGCAAGAATACCGAGAGGACTTTGTGTTGAGTATCACGGGAAAGAGACCAGCGATGTGCGTTTTGAGCAATCCTGATCAAAAGGGCAAAATGCGTCGAATCGATTGTCTTCGTCAAGCGGACAAGGTAAGTCCGGCGAATCGAATTTATGTACGCTTCCGCACGCACTCTTATTTGTATTTCAAACGAATTTTTATTAAAGAGTGAAGAAACACCGATATTTAACACAGCGAGAGTTCACACAAGTTTTTACGCGCACTCTGATCGTAACGATCTCCGTTCGACATCTCTGTGATAGGTATGGAGGCTGGATCTAGTTATGGTGATCCTTTTCAAGGCAATTCCATTGGAATCGACAGACGGCGAACGGCTCGAGAAGACTGCGGAATGTGCGCAGCCAGGACTTTGCGTCAATCCTTATCACATCAACGTTTCCGTCCGAGAACTGGATCTCTATCTCGCCAACTTTATCACGAGTCACGGTAAGAAAGATTACGATCGATAATCGTCGCGATCGGATCGTCGATCCAAAGAAGGGATCGTTTTGCTCGAGAATTTTCATCGGATATAATTTGAGAAAGCAAACATAGCACTAACATTTACATTAATTATATTTATGCAAACATTTATTTATTGTGCGTATGTTTTACGTATCATATTTCTCAGTAATTACGTGTAAGCGTGACCTCTTTGACTCGTAACGTGCTGTTAAAGCAGAGCGAAGCTAAGCATAGCGTAGCGCAGCTAGCGAGAATCCATACTTTGGACAATGCGAAAACAAGTCGCGCAATCAAATTATCAAGGTGACGACGTGACGTGATCTTTCTCACTTGAATTTTTCAAACAGTTCCGATAAGACTGAAGCGAAACGAATCGAATGGCGAACGCGGAAGCGACAAATATACATTGACGTTTGCTTCCTCTTTCTCTCTTTCCTTTCTTCTCCCTCTAGCACTCACAGAAAATGATAATACATTTTCAGTTTACTGTGTAATTAACTCTAAATACATACCTAGCTATAGATTCGACTGAATTTTCGCCAACTTCCAATGCAAAATATAAAAAAGAAAGTATACATAATATTGCTAATGTATTGTAGTAATCTCGTCGCCAATATCTTTTTCATAATTTTTTCTTTTTAACATTTATGGCTGACATAATTAATCCGAATATAATTTACTTGGTGAACAAATGTTACGAGCAAAAAGGTACGTAAAATACGTAAAATGTGGAAAAGAAATAGTGCAATTTCCCGTGCAATTTTCCTCGCGAAGGTCGCGAAAAAGGACCTTTCTCCTGGTCTCTATCGGACACACCAAATATCTGTATCAACGTCGTATAATATCCGTGTACGAGCCAGAGTCTACGCATGTTCCCATATATATTATTGCGTGTTTGTATGCGTGTCTTTCGCGTCTTCGTATGTCTGCGCATCGACGCGAGCAGTGTGCCGAATGAACATGTAGAGAAAATGTGCACGCAAGCGCGTGACCATGCTTGCCGCTGTATGCTCGCTCTATAAATAAATAGGCAACGGACATCTTTAGCGAGAGCTCACACAGCTTCGCTTATACGTTGATTTTCTCTCATGCCACTGAAAATACCTGAATATTTTTGCACTTGTGTGAGGATTCGTCGTGTGCCATTCCAATTGATTCTCAAATGTCGAAGCGATACCCCCACGTAGCGTTTCAAAAGAAGTACGATAAAATGATATGAATTTCAAGTAAAGGTCGGATTTTATACGAATGGATATCGTAATCTCTATTCATTTAAGAAATAAAATAATTGATGATCCATGATTTTCAACAGTTTGCCATCTATGAGATACGAAGCTTCGCTTTTTTACGAGTCACGACGGGCAACTGTAACGAGATTTGAAAAATTTGTCTCGCATCATTTATCGTATATTTTCATAAATGCTTCCAAATTGATTGGATTTTTTAATGATTTTTTAGGATATGACTTTTGTAATATACGACTTGTGTGTCATATATAGAGTGAGAAAAATACTTTTCAAATGTACGACAATACGCAATTATAATTAATTGTGTAGTTTCTTTTTACGCGTACTCTTCTTTTACTTTTGCTTATAGGATTCTCGTAGGATTTACAATAAGACTCGAGTTTCTATCGGCGCATCCCTCTTTACCCCTCTCGATCCACTCGAGAAATCGCTGTACATTCCGGACCCTCGAGTATTTCGGTGATATGTTGCGTAATGAGATTTGCGTAAAACGCGATGGTCCTAAACGTCGTGCGGTGGAAAACGTTATGCGCTTTTCGCCAAAACAGAAGTTTTACGTAATTTTCTTTATTTGAATATTTCGATGTTGTAAAGTTGTCGAGAATTCCACGATGACTATTCGATATCTGAAAAATGAAGCGGAAAAGAAAGAAGCGCGCTATTACTTATCGTCGCAAGTAAATTAATTACTTTTCATTAATCGAGCGCGTTTGTAATTTTTTTCTGTTATAGAGGTACTTAACGGGATCTGCAACGCTAGCAAGGAGGAGGACAGGCGTCGAAAAGGTACCCGCACAATTTCGCAGTTCACATTTGTGCAATTATATCCGTTATATTCACTCGTTTCGAGAGAAGCATTCACGTACGCGCTTTTGGTTGATCGTTTCTTATAAAATTTTTTACACGTACATCCGACACATTTCCAAACTCACATATATCGGGCCTTAGCAAATCTGAACGGATATTAAATATTGTTCGCTGGGTTTTGTTCCCAGGTACAGGATACCATGAACTATATAATGGTGTCGTCTGCAATGATACGATCCTTGCGACAGGTGTCTTCAGCTCCAAAGAGCTCTGGATGCTTTCAAAAGGTACGACGCTACATTTCTCATAGATTCGAACTCGACTTCTCCCGTTAATCGCACGCAACTTGACTTTGGCAGCCTCACCACGGCTTACCCGCGTTTGTACGTTCGATAAATTTCGCATTCGGATCGATTTTGCACTACCAGATTAACATTTTTCTCAAGATATTTCATATGCGCGATGATTCCTCTGTGGATGCTTTCGAAAGGTGACGAACAGCTCAATGCGAAAGACCTTTTGAAAGCATCCTGATAGTTAAACAAACGTTGATACTTTTCCGCTTGAAAAAAATGCATATTGTCATATTTCTGTAAGAGGGATACGATATAGTATCTCGAGGTAAGTCTACAATGAAAAGCTTTGAACGCTGCGACGGGTCGTTACCCCTTTGGAAAGGTTATACGCGAGTTCTCGGCGTGGATTCATCATTGGCAATCTCAATAATAACAAACGGTTCTGAATGGCAATACGCCATTCGTTGGAAATCGGAGATGATTCGAATAAAAACTGTCGCGCTTCTCTCGAATAACTCGACCGAATTTTACGTCCAATATCTTCTTTCAGACGCGAGCGTGTTAGATGAAAAATATAATTTCTCAATTATGTACATATATTGTGTGTGATTGCCACGTCCTTATTTCCGTGTACCGGAATTTTTAGTGCCTCGTGCATTTATTACGTATATTACGTGTACGTTGTGTGCGTAGCCCGATAACTGACAATGAGAGAGAACTACAACCGCTTTAGCGAATAATTCTTTTTACGCTTTTATTAAAAGTATTAGAAATAATTTGATTTTTTCCTCTCTCTCTTCCTCTTTTTTCCCCTTTCCTTCTCTCCCCCCCTCTCTCTCCATCTCGTTTTTTCGTTTGTTTTTTGCGCGGAAGCACCGCTTTCGCGATCGTGCTCACGGAGTGCAAGGAAAACGAATGACACACGTACGAGCGTGCTAAGAACCGTAGCTGCTAATGTGCGTCTGGTTTCAGCGTCCATACTGCATGACCTCAGCGACATGCAGCCTCAAATAAACGCGATCAAAATAGAGCACCCGCCGTACTACTGCAGCAGCTACACCCCACCATCCGCAGCCACGACCGCGGATCACGTTCAGCCGGCGGCTAGCTTCAGTGAGTTTCAAAATCTGCCTTTGCCCTTATTTTTAGTAGACAGAGTCGGGGTCGAGCGGTAGCCGCGGCGTAACACGCTTTCGTCCGTGTCCGTTAGGCTCGCTAAACTAGTTCACGTCGTATAAGCGGAAAGAACTCGGAACCGGGATCCGGGGGAGTCCGGGGTAGTCCGGGGGAGGGGGTGGGCGAGGGGGGAGGGGAGGGAGGAAATTATTCGCTCGCACGTAAATGTTGCTCCCTTGTGTTGATTCTGTCGTCGAAATGGTGGGAAATCTCGCTTTACCTGGTCTTACTTGTTTTTTTTTGTTTTTTAATCGCAAATGTCCGTGAATCGTAAAATCTATATGTTGCGCTGATCCTATTATTATCGCGATGGCTGTTAATTTTTGTGTCTTTGAATTGTTTTGTGTCTCCTCTCAAATAAGATACCTTTTATTTTATCTCTATATTCTTTTTCAGCATATACAGATGTATGCATTCCTGATATAAATGTCAGATTGTAGGCGAAATCGAAAGCGAAAGAAGAGAAAATATGAAATTACTTGCGTGTCTTAAACTGTTTTGCGTCATAATCGATTGTACGCCGTTTGTCGATATATCTTTTCCCTTTGTCTTTCGCGGACGTTATTTTTTTCAGTTTTGTACTTATGAAGATGAAACCTACAACGAGATGAAGAACGCGCCAGCGAAAGTATATCTCAAGCGTATATTTTGAGCTAGTGAGCTATTTTACTTGCGTAATTGAACAGATTTGCTTTTTTCGGCTAATACGAAACGATGAAGGAGATGTTAGGGATAAAGGAAAGCGAGAACGAGAATGGACAAATAAGGATTTAGAGGGGATGACATAAAGAGGGATAATTAAAGGATAATACACGAGATGGTACTCAGGGATGAGCCTTGTAAGAAGCATTAATCCTACCTAGCAAAATAGGGGACGGTGCCAATTGCCAAACAGATAGACGAAATTTACAGTCGAAATAAAATAAAACCACTTTATCGAGCATGTTTATTATACGCACAGAAAAATTTTAGCGATAAGCATACGTGAATCGTTGCCAACTGCATCTCTATGATATATTTCTTTATTGTTTTTTATCGTACGTACGTTCCCCTTTATATTAACGATGGCGCGTGGAGCATGCGATCGACCGTATATTATTCATAACTTGATAACGATGAAAAACGTATCTAAAAGAGGCACGTGCAGTCGCGTTTGGAAAGAACAACACAGTCCTAACTTTATATGGAGGAAGTTGGGGTAATTTGGACCACTCTAAAGCCCCTTGCACAATAGGCGATAGCGATAGCGACAGCGACAAAATTGCCGACAAAGGTATAGCTTTGTCGGCAATCTTGTCGCTATCGCTATCGCCTATTGTGCAAGGGGCTTAAGCCTTTTCAAGATAATTTGAAAACTATTAAAGTATAACTGAACTTTCTTTTCGCTGAATTGTAATGCCAAATGTTCATTACAACGCGTTTTTAACAAATTTCGTTTATTTATAGAATTTTTCGAAGGTAGATTTTATAGGGTATTTTGGATCATATTGGGCAAGTTGAAACACTTAATTAATCTTGCAAAAAGTAATTTTTATCGTATTTTAATGCATATTAATAATGAAATAGTCTGTAATAATTATTATATTATATATTTATTATATTCTAATTTATTAAAAACTTTGTGCAAACTATCTCAAAATTATCCGATATCGCTATTTTTACCTTTTCATCGTACACAATAGAAATGTGTATCATATGACACTTGCTAAATAAATAGACTACATTAAAATTCTATCATAGTTTTACATGCAACAAAAAGCGACAAAGAATCTGTGAAGTAGATTGACTGGAAAATAAAAGTTCATGTACTAACTTTACGCTGTGAGCGATATGCATCAAATCTTCAGTTTTAATTTTTAACTTTATGACACATTGTGCCACGCTGCCGCTTTGTACGCGTTAGATTGGGGGACCAGCAGTTAATAATTTTACTACTGGCCGCTAGGTTATAACACTTAATAATCTAGACATTGTCATAGCTCAACTTGCACAGGTGTTTCAAATTATTCCACTTTCTCTATCACATCGCGTTTTGCCTTACGATCATTTCGCAGATCATCTCAGATTTTCGCTTTGTCGCTTGGAAATGTCGATCTATGTTGATTTATGTATTCTTTTGTGCGTAGGTCCACCACCGGTTCATCAATTAATAAGGAACGATAAGACTGAGAAGCCGCCTACAGTAACGGTTTCGAGTGCACCGACATTTTCGTCGGTTCTCAGGCCGGAGGATGGACATCGAGGAATAGAATCCCCGCATTCGCAAACGGGTATGTACTCGTTTTTCAGTTTTCGCCGGTTATCGAACCTACGAATTGTCTCTCTCTCTCTCGCCCTCTCTCTTTCTTTCTCTCTATCTCTCGCTCTCGGCAACGTTGCGAATTATTCGAATCTAGCTGCCATCCAATGATTCGCATGAAGAGGGAAGGATGGACGAGACATCTGCAAATGTATATTCTAATATGAGGATTGAATAATTTACTAAAATTGCTGCAGAATGTTGGGCGATATGCTTTTTCCAACGATGCAAATTCTTCATAAATCAGGGGTTTTTTTTTACAAACGATTTCTTAATGTAAATTTTAAATATCGGCGATATATCAGCATCTCGAAATCTTACGCTCGTTAGAAATGAGAAAATATTGCAATTCGTATTTAATAAAAACCGTTTCAATTTGATGAACCAAGCTTGTCAAGTTACGAAAAATGGGCTATATGTTATATAAATAGATTTTATATAACATCCAGCGGTACTTAAAACGAACGAAAACTTTGAAAATATTCTGGAATATTGTTTGAAGAATTTACGATATATTTGTAAGCCTGCTTTATCGAGCTTACAAGCTAAGGTTTTATTGACGCGAGAAGAAGTTAGAGATTTATGATTATTTAGATTTAGTTACTCTCCCGTGTATTCTCCGCACGTGATAATTTATAAGATAGCTAACTTAAATATTGCGGTTGATGACGAATGAGATTCTTACATTGTTTTTAAGCAGCCACAGTTTGTGGAAACTGCTAGAATTTAGGAATCTTCGATTTACATAAATGAAAATTGTACTAACAAGGGAAAAGGAGTTACTGTTTTTTTATCGATAGCAGAATCGAAATTAGAATACGTAATACATAACGAATAACGTGTACGTCGCATTAGTAAATATTTCCGTGGAAGTGTTTCTCGATAAACACTGGGAGATTTGTAGAATTTCAACTACGATTTGAAACGAGTGATCATCGAAGTGAGACATCGACGATCTTCGCACCATTGAATCGCGATGTCTTGTATCGAGGTACGCTATTATTCTGTAAGACACGACACGACACGACACGACTTTAGAGTCCTCTCGTTATTCCCGCCTCCTCCTTTTCCTCTTGTTTTTTCTTCCCTCTCTTCCTTTCGCGTGCGTGCACGGATCTGGGGCGCATGTTTGGTGATCAATAACTTTTTAACTACATATATTTAACTAATACGCACCTAACAGAACTTATCGCGTCGATCATGCTTTTAGAGCGATCAGTGCGCTTCACATTGAGTGCAGAGAATCAAATTAATATATCTTGTCGATCATTAATTATCGCATGCATCTCGATCATAGAGAAACGATATTGTTGAGAAGCGATAAGCGGTGAATTGTGTGCTAATTTGTTATTTGTTAGCAGTTATATGCATTGTTTTCCTCGAATTTGTCATTTCTGATATTCGAATGGAAAATTATACCTATTCGAATAGTTAAATCTCGCTGTTTGGAACTCGCAACAATTATTTTTTTTCAACGACATTCTTGATCTTGTTTCATAAAAGACTATAAATGTATGTACACAATGCCTCAATACGTCAATTTAAGTGTTTATCGCGAGGCATCATTGGAAATTAATTGGCATTAATAATTCTATGTGTACATGTACATATCGAAATTCGCAAAAGAATACTATAAATTATATAGGTTAGTGAAATCAAACTGAAAGTTGTATATAGCCAATTAATAATATATTATATTTTTATCTCTCTTTCTATATGTAGGGTGTTTTCACGTTACAGTTATGTTTGGGTTAAAACTTAATAATTACAAAGCGTATTATTTTATTTCCGACAATACAAAACAGTAGAAATAAAAGTGAAATAAAAACAAATCTTAAAGCACAAATGTAACCGCTTCCAGTCAAAATACACTGCTCCGCCCGTCTTCTTAGCGTCTTCTCATCCTTTCACAAACACATTTTTGGACATATATTTATATGAACTATTTTGCTCATTTCGATGAGTAGAATATGCTCCTGAAATGATGGTTCACATTTATGATACATCCTGTATATTTGGCTTACGGAATGGCTTACGGTTTGATAAATATTTTCTTCCGTTTGTACTTTTTTGGTGAACTTGTTAAGTTGATTTAATCTTTTAAAGTTTGTGTCATTAATCCTTTTCTAAATATATTAAAATGTAAATTTGAATGGAAAGCATATAGTCTACCTATTTATGCAAGTTAATAACGATAAGAAAAAGAATTTAAATTTTACTTACATAATTAATCTGAATAATTGTTTTTTTTTTAATCTTACGTGATAACAAGTTGGAAATATGCTAAATTAGAAAGATCAGTTTATCCTTCTTTTTTCTTTTTTCTCTGTAACAATCTATATTTAATCTTTATTTAATAATCAACGAGTCATATATTTTAAATGATCTGCCATTAACATGCAGCGTATATTTTTATATTATACATACCCTTCTTCAAATTTTGATTGAAATTGTTTCACACATTTTTAACATTTATTATGCGATAAGTCTAAATTAAATTTACTGATATATCAAATTGGTAAATCGACATATAGATATTTGGTGAAGAATCTTGGAGATAGTATTTGATCGCTTCTGTTTTTATTGCCAATTTAAAATTATTGATTAAAGTTTATGTTACCCTTTGACTCATATCGAGTGAGTCATGTATGTTTAAAACAATTATATCTCTGGTAAATATGAAGCGGGTTAAGTCGTATAGAGCTCATTAATTTTATGAAAATTGCTTAAACTTTAAAAAAGAAATATTGTTTAATAGTAAATATGAATTATTAAATATGAAAAATTATGTGTGTATGCGGTAATATCCGAAATTTCTCAGACTGATTATGATGTGACACGCGGTATTGTCTTCGCGTATAATAATTACTTAAATACACACAATTCTGACAATGTAAATTTCTCAATGATACAAGGTCGAACCAAAAAGTTCCGGGACTGATAAAATAAAAATCACAATACGTAACATAGAATAAAATAAACGCTTTTTAGTTTTAAATATATTTCTCAGCGATCTCTATACATCGATGACATCTTGTATAGATCTTGGAATGCTTATTTAAGTGTGTCACAAGAGAGGCTGTTAAGTTCGACGGTCACGTTCCTTTGAATGTCATTGACATCCTGGAAACGTCTTTTTTCAGGGTGGTTTTCAATTTGGAAAACAATATGAAGTCCGCAAGGACTACTGCTCAGAATTCGGTGTGTGCGGCCGAATTTTGCTGAACGCGGCAATTGGCATCTTCCGCACGACACGCACCCGCGCAATCGAGTATCATTGTGAAGACATTTTTGGCAAAGAGGAGGTATCAATGTTGGAACGCCTTCCCTACTCTCCGGATTTGGCCCCTGCGGACTTCATGTTGTTCCTGAAATTGAAAATCGTCAAAGGAAGGCGTTTCGAGAACGTCAATGACATTCAAAAGAATGTGACCGCTTGTTTAAATGTGTCGTAAGACACATGTGTCTTACGACACATTTAAACAAGCACAATCCAGGATCTATACAAGGGATGTCGTTGATGTACAGAGATCGCATGAAATATATACTAAAAATTAAAAAGTTAAATATAAAATGATTAAAACCTATGAGAATCCTCGTGCAAATATTTATTTGATTATTTGCGACACAACATTCGATATATTTATTTCTGTTACCTAATCAAATGTGCGTCGTTAATTAGACGCTTGTTCAAAATAGAGTAAATGTTTAGAGATGATTGAATATAAAAAATACGAAGTAATTGATAGTTGAAGAAGATCGAAACCTCCCTTATTATTATATTATATTATATTGTTTCGTCTCTTTGAGAAGTAATCATTCGTTCCTTAGAGTAGTCGATCGGTTTTGATCAATTCCTTACGCAGCAAAACTTGCGATCTTAATATGCCCGTCCCCTGCTGCATAGGGCGTATGCGTCCTACGTTCTGAACTTTTAATTCAGGCTGTTAATTCATTCCGTTTCGTTTGATACTTTTGCTACTATACATATATAACACTGCCATAAAATAAATTCATAAAATTATATATCGATGCTTAAAATATGTATAATATAGTTATCATCGTCGAAACATTATGCACCTTTTTCTTAATAATAATGAATTTATAGTTTTATAAATATTATATACATATATGTAATATATGTTATAAGCAAAATTATTAGTCTCGACTACTTGAGATGTCATCAACGCGATCTGAATGAAAAGTTACTGAAAATTGGTCCTGGTAGGGAATGTGAATTAAAAATTATTATTTATAATTGAATATCTAATAGATTCCAAAGAAATATCAAAACAAAGATGTGATGCGTGTGTGTATTACATTTTCGCAAATGATTGAATTATAGGGAAGAAGATTTTAATTATTGCAGCAATGCTGTTTTTACATGTATAAAGGATATGTGTTATCTGCGAAGTGCATCAAGACGAGAGCAAGGAATTCTTTTTAAGTTTATTTTGAACAAATTACGCAAATTCGTAAAAAATTTGGAAAGGTGAATCCTTTTTGAGTTCATAACGATTACCTATATGTTATCTGTATATAGCGTATCTGATACAGGCGTAACACTGTTTTGTGGGTAGGTAGAACGGGATAAACTAAATGGAAAAATCCTCTATTATTTTGTGAGTTCAATGACAAATTAATTAATAAAGATCTGCGAGAATCAGCACAATTGAACTCGCCGCTGAATTGCGCGGATGCACATTCAGTTGCGATTCCTTATATATTAATCAATTTCTTATTAATTATTGAGAAGCTCGCAAAACGATTTCTATTCAGTTTAATAGTTAGCAGTTAACCTGCTCTATCTATCCTCGAGTGGTGTTACACCTATTATCAAACATCCTGTATACTTACATGCGTAGCTAATCTATTACATATATTAAATCTTGTTAGATATAAAAAGAAATTATATCTGTTCTCTCATTATTCCATTATTAACAATTATTTGTTGGTTTTTTAAATATAAAT